AAAACATTTCTTTTGCTGATCTTTGCTGAGAGTCTTCCATTTTACTCAACATCCTTGGCACTAAATGCCATGCCACTATTTCTAAGAAATCATTTACCCTCAAAGCAAAGGAGTCACTGAGGGCTGCCAGGAGCTTTCACAAGCAGCAGATCTTTGGGCTGTCATGTGAAAACCCAGAATTGTAATTCTGATAAAGCCAGGATTTGAACTCTGCTCTAAGTGATCACAGAAGTTCAGTTCCTCTTAGTGTCTAACTGCTCGTAAGAGTCTTAGCCACGCATGAGGGTACTCAAAGATTATCTTGAATGCAACTTCTGAAAATGAATTTTAGCAATGTTTTGCACAATGACAGCTGCATAAGACCTGGTCAGCTGTACATTTCAGTGGTGATGAGATTAATTTTAATGGAGAGATTAAATTTTTTTAAAAATAGTTTTTATGTGGTCATATTAGAACTTATAGTGTTTTATAAAATGTGGTTCTGAATGTTTGCACTGGAATTTCCTGGAGCCTTTTCTGATTTTCCTCTTGGGGGAAAGGGATCCCCCAACCCTGGGTACTTAAGGCCTGCTTTGGATGCATCACGAGGCCAGAGCCGCTGAGGCCAGAGCCCCACGCTATTAGGTTTAGACCTAAAATGTCCTCCCGAAGTCTTGTGTTCTGATGTGGGGCTTTTGGAAGGTGATTGGATCGTGAGGGTGATGAACTCATCAGTGATTAGTCAGTGAGTGAGATCGCATCGGATTCTGCTGTTTGGACGTGAGGCCTGATTGGAAGAGGTGAGTCACGAGGTGGGCGGGTGCGGCCTGGAAGGATGACGCTTGGCACCTGGCTCCTGCTCTCTGGGGCAAGCAGCTTTCTTCCACCAGCCCCTTTCACCATGTGCTTCCACCTTGGAGCCAGCTAACCATGGACTGAACCCACCTGAAACTGAGCCCAAGTAAACTTCTCCACCTTTACATTGCAGGTGGTAGGCATTTTATTTCAGCAACAAGAAAGCTGACCAATAGACCTTCCCAACCAGTGCATGCTCTGCGCACCCAAGGCCCAGGAGTTCCTGCTTAACTCAGGGGGTAAAGGCAGGTGTGCCTCTTCTCACCATAGAGGTGGAGTGCTGTGTCCACACATGTTGGCCAGCAGCTCCCTGCTTTGTGAGAGGTGCTGGGGGAGGAAGGGAAGGGCATCGAGCAAAAGAAGGTATGGTTTTGGCCATTGTTTGGCAAGGAAGGTAAGTAGAAAGAACATCTTTTATTTAATAGTTCACTTCAAATTTAGCATCTTTGTAGAAATATGGGATGTTGTTTGCTTGCACTCTTACCCAAAGATCTGAAAATGTGAGGCCAAGTCTGGGTCTAGGGATGTGTCCACATGCAGATTCTCTGCTCCCTTCTTGCACTCATGACTTGGAAGTTCTGTGGCTGCAGCTGAGGACCAGTGCTTTCATCAGTGCCTAGGGTGAAGTTCACATGCCCAGAAGTTTGTGAGCTGCTGTTTGGGGGCTTCTCTGCAGCGGGAAGGACCATGTGCCAGGAATCCTCTTGTTTTTGTTTTTCACAGGCTGGGGCTTCAGCATGGGGACCAATTATCATTTCCACAGCTGGAGAGTATTTGTCATTGTCTGTGCTCTGCCCTGCACTGTATCCATGGTGGCCCTGAAGTTCATGCCTGAGAGCCCCAGATTTCTGCTAGAGGTGAGTCTGCACCTCCTCATCAGCCACAGGAGTCTCGGCCTTGCTTTCCTCTGTCCCCGGTTCCTTGTCCTCTCCTGACTGCTTCTTGCAAACTCCCCCATGTTGGCTGACCTTATGCATCATTAAATCTGGCTCCCTGCCTGCTGGTGATGGTCACAGATCATGAGTTCACTGCCTGATGGTGCTGGAAGAGGGCTAGCAGCACATGGGATCTCAGCTAGAGCCCTCTCCCAGGCTGGGCGGTGGTGGCAGGGCTGTTTCCGATTTGCCCCTGGACTTGGTGCACTGCTTTTCTGTGTGGCCACAGTGAAGTCTAAGGTAAACTTCACTGTTGCACCCAGAGCCACTAGGGATCCTGGCTGCACAGGGCCCCTGTCCTCCCAGAAAGCTACCTGGTCCCGAGAGATGATCCTCCAAGCCTCCCAACTTTGGGGGACCATGGAGCTTGCTGTGATCAGCAAGTGAGGCATTGGTAGAAGGGAGGCAGGACACAGAGGCTGTCACAGCCCCAAGCCCCAGAGTCCATGGATCTGCTTCTCTCTTGAGCTTTCTGCAGAGTGAGCCTCAGTGTTCAATTTCCTCTTCCTCCTACACATCAGGCAGGTGCAGCAGGGTGTTGTCTCAACATCCACCCTTTGTTGTGTGCTTGTTTCCTGGGGCTGCTGAAACAAAGAACCAGCAAGGACGTTCTTTATAATAGCAAGTCTTTCTCACCATGTTGGAGGCTAGAAATCCTGAATCAGGCTTTTGACAGGGCCATGCTCCCTCTGAAACCTACCAGAGAGAATCCTTCCTTGTTCTTCACAGATTGTGGTGGTTTAAAGGCAAATGTTACTAGCAACTGCATTGCTAAACGGCAGCCTTTGTCACTACATGGAGTTTCCCTGTGTGTCCCTGTGTCTTCACATGACTGTGTTCTTATAAGGACAATAGTCATTTTGGATTAGCGGCTCACACCATCCCAGGATGAGCTCAGCTTAGCTCATTACTTTTGCATCACTCTCTTTGCAAGTAAGGGCATGCTGTGGCACTGAGGGTGAGGACTTCCATGCACAGCATGTTGTCACTCACTTTGTCTCAGCAGGTGGGAGCGTGGCTCCTGTTCCTTGGCCCACTCACCTTTACAACTGTAATTGTAAAGTTGACTCACAGCGGACTATGGTGGCAATACCTGACATTTCCACCTGAAAGGCACAAGCCTATGATCCTTCCATGATGGGTGGGGGATGCAACTGTGTCCAGGTCTTTTCACCAGCCCCAGATGAGCGTGGGTTCATGTCTAACCCACCTCGATCCAGGTATTGTGCCCTCTTTGTAGGGTTTTCTACCTTGATGAAGTGGGTTTTCATGGCTTTTTCTTTGGTTCTGTTAGATGGGCAAACATGACGAAGCCTGGATGATTCTCAAGCAAGTCCATGACACCAACATGAGGGCCAAAGGGACTCCAGAGAAGGTGTTTACGGTGAGTGTGTGACAGCCTCTTCCTACCCTGTGGGGATTTATATACTAAGCACAATTTTAATAATTAAAACAAAATTTTATTAATTTAACATAAATGCTGTGAAAAGGAAAATAAAATCCTACCATTACTATTGTTCTATTGTAATTATCAGTAATATTTTGGTGGCTGTCCTTCTAGGTTTTTCCTTAAGTAGCGTAAAACATGACAATAGGAAACCCCACACATTCAAATGAGCATGAGCATATGTATGTATATTTGCATGTGCAAATTAAGCAGTACTCATAAGCAGCTGATATGTTGCCTCCTAGCATTCATCACCATCATCTTAATGAATACTAATGTAAGGAACATTAACACAGCTTTAATGAACATGTCCCTCATGTCAGAGGTTTATTTATCCTGTTTCATTGCCTTGCTCCTATAAATATTGTTGCAGTAAACCCTCTCATGCACATGGAGTGATGGTTCCTTCAAAGTCTGAGTTTGTTTTCTCAGAGGAGAGTAGACTTCTGGAAACAAAATTACTGGCCCAGAACAGGGGTACAGGATCTCACTACACAGCTTAGACTCATAGTGCTCCTCCTGTTTTCAACCTTCCCAGAGCTGGGATTACAGGCATGCGCCACCACACCTAGACTTGTTCGCCAGCTCAGCGTGCCCTGGGGGCGGGGCCGGCATGGCATGCAGGACTGGGGATTGAACCCTGGTCCCTGTGCTTGCCAAAGCAGGTGCTTAGTCCGCTGAGCTATCTCACTGGCCCTAGAACATGTGTATTTTTACAGATTCAAGATATATTGCCAAGCTACATTTCATTAGGGTTGTGCCACTCTGCCATGCCACAAGCAACAGGGTACACATGTCTGTACATCCTTGCCAGCACTCATCCCTAAGCCTTGTTTTGTTTCCTTGCTTGTTGGCAAGGCAAAGAGGCCATGGTGGTAATGTTCACGAAGGTGTCCTCCATAGAGATGCCGTGTTCTTGTTGGTCCTGTGCTGTGGCCAACCGCAAGGCCTGCCTGCTGGCTGCTGCTCTGTGTGCCTGTTTCTACAACTGCTTCTAAGAATGACTTCACATCTGCTTTCTTTGGGAAGCCTTCCTGAGTTGATTCCCACATACCTCCTGTTCAGTGCTTTTTGATTCTTCGACTTTCATAATTTCAGTCTAGAGTGCAGTAACTGTCTTTGTTGCCCTGATGCCTAAAACCCCTAATTCTCTGGCAGGATCACATGGTAGTTAAGTATCTACACCAGCAGTCAGACAGTCTGGGTCTATATCCTGGTTTTGATGCTTTCTGGCTGTGTGGCCTTCGGCAAGGTAGGCTCCGTGCCTCACTTTCCTCACTGGAAAGCAGGACAGTAGTACATATCCATAAATACAGTTATTGTGAGGATTGACTAGAGCAAGCACCTGAAACAATGCTTAGCTCACATTGATACAGATATGATGTTATTAAAAAATGTCATGATGTTTTTGCATGAATTAACTCTTGTTACAGACTTTATGGAAAATTGCTCAATGGCACATTTCTCTAATTTCAACACTCCTACTATATTTAAAATACAAGACCAAAACTTTCTCACAAGCATGCATTACGATGCATGATTAATGGAAGTCTTCCAAATGAAAGATGTTAAGGGTACATTTTCCATTTTCTTTGAGCATTGGGATAGCTTGTAATGCCATAGCTGGGCTACAGGTGCAGAGACCAGGCGTGTTTCTGCTCATGGGATCTGGGCATCCTGGGCTTGGTCCTGCAGCTCCTCTTCCTTCCCTTCCACTTGGCCTGGACAGGTCCACATTTCTTTTGAAGCTCCTGCTTTCTCTTTCTTTTTTAAAAATTAATTTTATTGAGAAATAAATAGCAATGAGACAGTTTCAAAACAGATTAGTAGGACAGTTACAATAACTAAGACATTGCATATTGTTGTCTTCATAACACTACT